CTGTCTGTCTTTCCGTCTGTCTGTCTTTCCGTCTGTCCGTCCTTCCGTATGTAACTATAAACGCGTCAATATATTTTTATGTTTCACATTTGTATGTTTTACAATTAATTTAAAGCTTCTTAACCTTCTTTCACTTTATATTATATATATATACATATATATATCGGGTCTTTATATTTCAATTTATATATACACATTTATAGCCCTCACATATGTATCAGAGTCTTAACTATAAAGACTTTGCCCCGTGCCACAACGATAAGAAAACCACAAAAGCAACGCCTCCCTCTGCCCCTCTCTCACTTTAATCGCGCGCATTGTTAATGCCAGCGATATACGAGGCATTATTATATACCATATCATTATTATATTTATTATTTTGCACATACGACGCATACTATATACTAAAAGAAGAAGAAAAAGGGGGACGAGCAGCATTAAGCACTGAGCTGCAAATAAAACACGTATGAAGCGAAAAATGTATGAAAAAACATAAAGAAATATATTAAAAAATATGCGAAGAAAAACGTGGAAATTGGCTGCACAAGACGACGATAGGCTACAATATGTTGCCGATAATGGATAATGCACCTCCATTTAACAGCCCCCAACAATCCCTCCACTACCCCTCCCGCTCCTTTGTCCACGAACTGCTCTTTTAATGCGCCAGCCAGCGCTTGTTTTTTTTTTCTTTCTTTCATATTTCTTTGGCGCATTTCGTGCATATTTCTTATTAAATGTCGTCGATATTAACACCCCACAAAAGCTGACGAATTGCATGCAAAGTGGGTAACGCGGAGCAGAGTGGAACAGAGAGGGGCAGAGTGGGGCAGAGTGGGGCAGAGTGGGGCAGAGTGGGGCAAGTGCTGCACGTGTGGCATTGTATGGTGGCACAATGCAACGACTGCGACATGAATAAGCAATAAATATATATATATATATATATAGAAAAATGGTTATGCAAGGAGACTCACAAAGAAAGCCTTTCTTATATTGAAATTTAAAAAAAGTAGAAAAAATCAGCTCTTAATAGTAAAACAGCTTGACTTGAAACATATTCCCCACCCTAAAGCACAACTAAAATATATATCATAACAAAATTAAAATAAAATTCTCCGATAAACGCAACCAATTGCTTCTCTTTGTAAATAAATTTGATATTTGATAACAGACTAATTGTCATATTTTATAATAATATAAATAAATAAAAGAAAATGTAACGAACTAATTTCATATAATATCATATCATATCAACATAACATCATGTATCATATCCTATCATAAACCAAAAACTGTTTTTTGGAATTTCATTTTTAAAAACAATAATAAATATCTGTATTATGAGAATATGAACATAGCACTAGAACATTACGACTTCCGAAAGCTAGCAAAAGATTCGAACCAGTAAGTGGCCTACATGACATTTTCACTCAAACATGATCAAATGGAAATACAGTGAGCCCTCTTCTAACGGACATTAGGCAAACATCTCAGACAGGCAGAAACCAATCTTATGCGATCGCCTTCACTTAAAATATTATTAATCAATTCATACTAATCCCCCTCTATTAGGCGGCCACACCTCTTGCGGACAAAAATTAATCAACAGTCGCGTTCCGTCCTAGAGAGTTTTCACTGTGGTAATCATGGTAATATGTGCAAATTGGCATATTTTCAAATATTATTCACAAATGTAGTTTATCTTTGACTTCTCTTCTTTAACTTCTCAACTGCAAATTATTTAGATCTCATTTCAAATTTGGCTATCTTAACTTATTTTAAGCCTCAGAAGGGCCTGTGGCTTTAAGTTAGAATTTAGGGCATTTAAGACGCGTTATACTCGTATGAATTTATAAAAGTTCCGTTTGAACTGCATTTCTTATGACCAACGCCATTACGTATGCATTTGTGGGAATACCCGCATGTGCAGCTAGACATCGAGTCTCACTTCTCGGCGAGATGTATTCGGGGAGCAGCTGCTCAAATGGCAAAGAAATCATTATTTATCGGCAACGGGAGGAACACACAGAACCACAGATCAACTAGCAGACAAACAGAGAGATGCAAAGAGAGAGAGAGAGGGGGGGAAGCGGAGACATTGCCATTGGCAGACAGGACACATAGAAATGAATGCAAACTGTTGCCAAGACAGACGACATGCAGAGGACCATCAATATAAATTTCAATATGACCAAAAACATATTTGCCATTACGAACGAAGAAAAATGCTGGCAGACCGCACAATCAAAGGGAAACGCCAGCAGTCGGAGGAAATAAGTAAAATACCAACAAAACATATATGTATACTGCACAACTCAAGTATATAAATCAATTAAATGGCAGATAAACGTAAAAGATTACCTCAACTATAAGCAATAGTTAGCACATATCATCATTAAAGACATAAAAACTATTCAAATATAACAACTATGTAAAAAAAACTTAAACTTTAACTTATGCATACCACAGCAACCCACAAAGACCTGTCTAAAATATTAACTAAATATCAAAAAAGTTCACAATAACTGCTCTAAAATATATCTCTACTCTACTCTACTACATTATAAGCATGTTTATCAAAATATGCAAACTGCAGAAAAATACAATTAGAAACTATCCTGCGACTAAAAGCATGAAAAATACCAAATACATTGCTAGAATTTGAGATTTTTTGAAGAATACTAAAAAAAATACCACGCTTAGAAACCATCTTGAGTCTAAGGGCATGAAAATACGAGACGCTCTAATATAAGTATAGTTTTCTGTGAACGTAACAAAAATATACTACACATAGAAACTATTCTGAGACTGAGCATGTAAAAAATACCGAACGAAGAGCACAAGAAATATACTAATATACTAACAATCTAAGTATGTAAGTGCAAAAAATACTAAGTAACAAACATACTGGAATTTGAGCATAACAAGTTGAGCATAATTTGAGCCATGAATGTTTAAAAAAATGCTCCAATATATATATGTATTAAAAGTAAGACCCGAACTATTTAAAATAACAAAAAAATATAATTATCTAACTTAGTCAGCACAATTACGAACTATATGCTCAGCATATCTAGTTTATTAAAATAAATATCACACATAAATACTAGACAAACAAAATGTAGCTAATGAATAAATACCACCTTAAAATTTTAAAAAATACCATACAGCGATTTGTGAGCTTAGATGCTAAGTTAATTAAAATAAATATCACACATAAATACTTGACAGAGAATACTTGAATCTAGTTAATAGTTAAAAAACCACATTTAAATACCAAAAATACCAGACAGCGAATTGTGTGCGTATATTGCTTAGATGCTTCTTTGCTTTCAAGCATACATATAAGAGCGAGACGTCATTAACTAACTGCAATATATACCAGCACAGAGCTTGCAACAGACGAAGAAAGCGAAGAATGGCGTGCATCAAGCGTGCCCCAGAGGCGACTTTGCCACATGCCACTCCAAAAAGCCAAACTTTAACTTTAAGCGTAATGACATCAGCTGCCGCCTGTGCCCTGTTGCGGCTGTTGTTGTTGTTTGTAGCATACAGTCGGGCGCAAGTGGCAAGTGGCAAGTGGCAAGCGGCAAGTGGCACGAGTAGCCAAGAAGCGAACCACAGGCAAGGCCAAAAGGCAAAAAGTGCAACGTAAAAGTTGCAGCTAGCAACTTGCAAGACAAAAGCGACACAAAAATTACAGCAACAGGGGCAGTAGAGAGGGGGAGCTGATGCTGTTGAATGAAGGGGCATGTTGTGCGTGTGCGTGTGTATGGGTGGGTGTGTGTGTGTTTGCGATAAAAACGGAAGTGCAGATTGCCCCAGCAGCAGCAGCGGCGGCAGCAAAAGGCAACGACTAAAGTGTGGAAATGTCAATTTGCTTGCGCCAGGACTCGGTGGGCGCGGCCGCACCGGAAGATGGCAACGGAAAGTGCAACAGTGGCAACAACAACAACAACAACAACTGCAGCAGCAGCTGCAACAACGTGTATTGATTTTCAATTTGACGCCGTAAGATAAAAAGCCAAAGCGACAGAGAAATGACATTATAGAGAGAGAAGGAGAGAGAGAGAGAGAGAGACGTGGCTATAAGTTTGAGAGCTACTGTGCGCAAATGAACGGCCAAAGCTTAAAAGCAATTTTGCGGCTAATAAATCCGATTTCCGTTTTGTTTCGAAATAAATTGCATGCGAGTTGCTGTTTTTGTTGTTTTTTGGGGGGATTTTGTGTGCTCCGGAAATGGTTCTCGGGAGACATCAACGTGCAACGGGCAACGAGCAGCAGCTGCTTTCAGCCGGATGTGGTAAATAAGCAGCTGCAATGGGCACTCCAAATGCACAACACAAGCCAAACACACACGCACACCAACACACGCACACCAACACACTCACACACACAGACAACAACAGCGCACACAAAGCACATGACCTAATTTAGCAAGTACAGCTAAGGGAGCTGCACTCAAGTGTTTATGAGATACCCTGTAAAGAGAATAGCTGTGCAGATGTTGCCTAAAAGTAGGCAAAACAATAAAAATAAAACTTTAAGCAAATGTTTGGACAACAGGAGCGTTCACCTTGGATGATACCACCTTGGATGATACCCTAAAATATTCGATAATAACTCTATGAGACTATAAGTATAATACTCTGCATTACAGGGTATCTCTCTGATTACTTTTAATATATTTTCCTTTCCTTTCGATTCCCTTGAACTTTCCGTTATACTCATTAAACCAAACAGTCCTTAAGAAAACCAGACTATCAAAACAAAGACCTATTTTTCCTCATTACAGGGTATCTCTTCGGAGTTTCATTTTAACGATAGACTAAGAATATCTGAATATTTATCATAATCATCCTTAACATTCAATTAAACTCATTAAATCAACAGACGCTCGTTAGAGCCGAAATAAAAACCTCTTCCTCCATTTTTACTCATTACAGGGTATTCCCTAATTCGGTATCGCTTACAACAAATCGTATTAATTGAGCACTCACCTGTACATCAAAATTTTGCTGCTGTTGCTGCTGCTGCTGCAAGAGATTGCCTGAAGATTCCATATGATTGGGTCCGCCTGCTTGTGCTCCCTGATGGTTCAACATAGGTGACTGACAGAAAGAGATAGATAGAGAGAGAATTATGCCAAGGCCAATTCCTGTCAAACTGGTGCTGCTGCTCACCTGTGCGGCCATTGGCATTCCGGCACCAACTCCATTCATCATCGGTGGCTGCAATTGACTCATTTGCGCCGCCATCTGCTGATGTGCATAGGCAGCGCCACCGCCTCCGCCACCCACCGAATTGTTGCCCATGCCATGACCCTGGCCATGATCCATGAGCATGTGATTGAAGTGCGGCATTTGTGGGAAGCCGCCGTGGTGTGTCGGATCCAGTAAAGTGGGTGGGCGTGGCAGTGTCTCTTCAGCGGGCGATGGCTGACGGGAGCCGGGAGTGCGGCTGTAAACGTACGAAAAAAAGGGGAAAAAAATTAAATTTAAAAAATTTGTTACAGTTTATGATGCACTGCTTAATTAGCCAGTTAGGTTTGAGTGTCATTGGAGCACTCCACGTACAGTTGCGCTGCCACTGTAGAACTTGTTCTGTCTACAGTTTTACACTCATTGCGCATATCCCTTAAGCCTGCTAACAGTAATTCCACTGAGCTAGCATGCCTGTTCAGTTGAGAAGCCACTGTGCCAAGTGCTTAGCACAGACAACAACCTCGGCACTTTAAAAATTAGCCGTGACACACACTGTACTAAAAACCCATTTAGCACATGGCACTCAAACTGTATGCAAGTGTTTAGTTGTGTAGTGTAATTATAAACAAATTAATCACAGCTAATTGGACGTCTTAAATACATTTGTACTCAATTGGGTGACAATTAGGCGCTTCTGCAATGCATATTTGTACAGTTTGCAAGTCACTGGCAATGAATTGCCAACTGTGTGGGTAAACAAAAGACTTAAGCAGCAAACTTGTTAAAACTTATTGGTTGGCATGATGAAGTGTGGAGAGAGGAGTATTTGCCTATGACGTCAGCACAAAGACTGTCGCCAAAACGGCAGCTGGCAATGTGGCCATAAATTAAAACAAATAAACAATAATAAATTCAGACGGAGTTTTTTTTTCGAAAATGCAAATTTCACTAAGATTTATACAAATAAATTATTATATATTTACGCGACTGTCTGTGTTAATTAATGCATTTGTCCGTTTTTAAGCTCGCCAACAAAATTTGTGCAGTGGCTGTGCAACTGTATGCGTCTGCTTTGTTGACTCACACTCGCGCTGTTGCCGTCTCGCTCTAGCATGCAGTCAGCGCAAATTGGCCATAAATTAACTGTCGGGTCATTAACACCAAACACAGCAACAGCTACTGCAGTGGCTGTGCAACTATAACGTCTGAGTGACTAATCCTCACGCCAAATGAGCTCTGTTTAACCAGTTGCTGCTCAAACTGTAAACTATACAGCACGTGCTTATAATTTGGCCAAAACTGTAACTAATTTCATGGCTTACAACATTTTGAATAATTTGAATCAATAATTGCGCCACACAAATTGTTAAAATATTTCATATGTTTATTTTAGGTGCTTTTATTGATCTGTCGACAAAATGCGGACTTCTAAAATTTCATCATCTTATACTCTTTCTTAGCTAAAAACTTTCCCAACTTGGCATATTTACTGAAGGGATTTTTGGCCCTAGTTTCAGCTTTACTTTAATTCCTGATTTTCATTTAATTAAAATTTGAAAATAACATATTTTAAGATTCTGTTTATGGCAAAATATCCTCTTTAATAAATAAAATGACAGATGAAAAAATAATATCTGTAGTTTAATTTCAAAATTCAAAATGTGTATAAAGCCCAACATATAAAGTGATTCCGAGTGTTCTATTATTCTGTCAAAATGTTTGTTTTGATAACCTCCCAATTTCTCTCATAACTATCTGTGGGCTCCTAAGACTTGGTCAAAACTTAACTGATTTTCATAGAGTATTCCAATTTTGATATTGTTTGACCTTTTCTTAAATACATTTAAATGAAATTCATTGCTTTCATTAAAGAAATAACATTTTCTTGGCCTTTTATTTTATATTACTAGATAATATTTTGCCTGTATTACTATGGAGGCAAAAACTTATCGACATACAATTGAAAAGATCACACTGACTCTCAAACTGTGTAAATTAGCTTGAATAAGCCAACACAAAATACGATCCGTAATTTGTGTGAGGTCAGTTCCATTGGCAACATTCCCATTTCATGCCCATTCGCTGGCCAAGAATCTTTTATTCAAATTTCGCTTATGCAATAGAAAAAGAGAGTGAATGGCTAAAGAAATGTTTCACTTTCAGCGGCAGCAAAAAGAAAGTGCGCAGCCAAAAGCAGATAAAAAGGTCAGTGGAGCTCATATCGTTGACCAAGTTAGCAGACTGTTAGGCGGGCGCGGGCAGAGGCAGCAGACAACAGACAGCAGACAGCAACAACAACTGCTGGCCAAGTCTCTGCCGAGAGTAGGTCGGGCGACAGGTGCTCCGGTGTAGTAACTAAAACCACACACAACAACAAAAACAACAACAACAACAACTCGCAAACTCGAACTCAAGCCCCCTGCCCAAAGTTGGCCAGCTTGGCTGTTGCCACAATTTGAAGCGAGCCGTTTGAATTTTCGCAACTAAATTTCATTACGCGGCGCACAAAACGTGAGCAACAAAAAAAATTGTATACAAAAAAAAATATATATATATAGAGAAAAAAATATATAAAAAAATTAAACGAAACCTGCCGCAACAACAAAAGAAACATAAACGCAAACTAATCGAACAAAATGCTACACAAAAAAAGGCTCAATAGAGCTCAATACAAAGTGTTTGTTATTGTTGCTTGAGTCACTGTTGCTGTTGTTGTTGTTGTTGTGTTCGCTGTTGCCGTTGATTACTTACATCATAACCGTTATTACGTTTGGCATTGAAACACGTTTTGGCTGCGACGCCGACACCGGCAATGAAATTACAGCAACAACAACAACAATAACCACAACAACAACAATTGAAAGAGAAAACCGGCAAAGCAGAGCAACAAACAATAAGAACAACAAAACCAACAACAACAAAAGCAACAACAACAACAGCCTGAAGAGCCAACCACAACTGGTTTTTATTTATGGTCTGGGGCTAGGCTTTGCAATTGCCCACAAAAACTTTATAAGGCCTGAAATTTTTGGCAGTGCGTGTTGTAAGCGGCTATTTAAAGAGATGAAAACGAATTGCGATTGATCAGAGAGAGGGAGAAAAAGAGCTTCACCTCTCTTTTAGTAAGTAAGTAAGAGCGGGATATGAAGAGACAAAGGAGACATGGGTAAATAAGGGCGACAGGCAGAAAAGGAAATGAAGAAGCAATGAGGAGTTGAGAGGAGAAGAAAACAATAAAAAGAGAATAACAAAAAACGACAGCGAGAAGAACGAAAATGAGCTGGAAAGAGAATTGGTAGAATGATAAGAAAAGAAAAAGAGAGGGGAAGAAAGTGATGAGAAAAAATAGACAAAAAGAGAGGAACAAAGAGAGCAAGAGCGAAAGGGAGACTGAGAAAGCGAGTGCACGAACAAAAACAGAGATAAAGACCCATACAGACACAAATAACGAAAAACAGAGAAACGTATGGGGAGAGAGAAAGAGAAAGCTTACGACACACATACACACAGAAAGAGAGAGAGAGAAAGAGGCGGGAGGAAGTAAAAGAGCGAGAGAGAACGACGCAAACGTGCGAGAGAGGTGGAGAGAGAGAAATGGAGAATAATACAGAGAGCGAGAGATATACAGACAACAGGGCAGAGGCAGATGCAGAGAGAAGGATAAAGAGATGCGTAGCTGCGACAGATACAGAGAAAGATAGAAAGAAAGAGGGACAACGAGGCAGAGACCGCTACAAAGAGATAGAAAGAGAGAGTCAAAAAGCAGAGACTGATACAGAGAGAGTTATGTAATGCTAAGCAGAATTTTAATTCTCATTTGCTTAGTGAAATTCTTTATAATTCCTAAGCCTTCCCTCTCTAAATAATTCGAATATTTTTAATCTTTCATTCTGCTTTGTTCACCTTTCGTAAACGTTTCATTGAATTTGTGAAGCCGAATAAAAGAAATTACAATCGTAGATAGGAAGAACCATTTACTTAGTGTTCAGAAAAATATTAAGGGTAAAAATATATATACCAAAAATAAGAACAAATCCATAAGAAAATTACCGTTATAAGAGCCGGAAGATTACCAAGCACAGCTCCAAAGTTCGTACAGCTGTCAAGTAGATTTAGAAAGTGTTGCCAAAGGGGCAAAGACATAAAACACTTAACAACTGAATCATCTTTCGACATGCGAGTGCCACAAAACGAAAGAAAATAAGTACAGCAAAAACGAGAAAGAAACAAATGTGGGCCAAGTGGGCAGCAAAAGAGACACAAGTGGGTGTTGACTCAACGGATCTTAACTGACTGAAGTTGGACAAAAATTTAACTCCGTCATTTGCCGAATCAATAAGTAATATCTCCCACAATCAATGACGGCCTGTGGGCAAAGAGTTTGCATTTTATAGACATTTTCATTAAAAATGAAAATTTCCTACGACATGAAAACAGAAGCAGAAGAAGAGGGGATATTCGAGGGAAAATTTAAGAAAAAAATACGAAAAGGCTTTGATAGCCAAGCTCAATACTGAGCAAAGAAATGGGATCTTTAGAAATTCCATGGGTTTGTCGAATAACAAAATATATATAAAGATTGATATATAGATCAAATCAAATTCTAAAACCTGCTCTATTCGCAACCTTTTGTAAAATGACTAACTATACAAAAGCCAAAGGAAAAAATGATATAACTAAATAACACAACTATATAGAGCAAAAACTCTTCTTCTTTCTGTAGTTTCTCAGTCTTTCGGAGATTGATCCACTTGCTATGCCCCCCATGTCATAAGTCTAAGCAACCAACTGACACAACTTCAGAACTCTTAGCCGCTCCCCTCTGGCCATCTATACGAGAACGTGTCGTGGGGACCTTGAAGAAACCAGTTCGAGAGAGACATGGCATAGGCATAGGCTTAGCCATTCTAATGTCAATGCCATTGGCCAGACTTGAACTAGACACTGGAGACAGACGGAGGAGCGGCGAAGTTGATCAGTAATCTGGTTAAACGTGGAATTGCTTGGCTAGGCTTGGTGGTCTACTCACTTGAATCCCTTTTCATCGTCAATGCCATTCACGACTCCATTTGTGTTTGTGACTTGGTCGTCCTTCTTTAAGCCATTTGTATCCACCGGAGAGTTTGCCTTTTCCTTATCGTCATGTGACTGCAATAGACAGACGGGCATATTTTGGATAATATATTTCGATATAGAATTGGAGATCAAGACTCACCTTATCATTATCGTCAAATTTTAAATTGCGCATACGCGGCTCCAAGCTGGACAAGGGACTCTCCTTATTGGTGGGTGAGCCGCCCAGAACGAATTCAACCATCTTGACGCATGTTGAATCGCGGGGGCTGTTAGGGAGAAAAGAAGAAAGGGAGCGATTAGAACAAGCTAAACACTTAACAGACTTAGAAGCACATTAATTACGTAACATAAAGTAACGCAACTTCTAAAGGCAATAATTAAAAAAAAAAAAATAGCTGGTAAAATTTAAACAAATTATATAAGGTTGCGTATTACCTAATTTATCTGCTTACGTTTAGTAACAAATTGAAACGTTACGAAATATCTCGTTACGTAACGTAAAGCAACATAACGTAATACTTCATAACAAGTAAAGCATTAATCTTAATAGGTTAATGCTCGCTCGCTTAGCTTGATTCTTTTATTCAATACGTTGAGGGCAATACGTTCATAGCAAGCAACGCGTGATTTAATGAATATAAGAACGTCTTGTTTAACTTTACGTAACGTAACGTAACAAAATACGTAAAAGTACTCTCACAAAAATTCACCTCAATATGCCCGCATTGCCGCTGTTCGAGTTATCTGAAGCGCCGCCATGCGGATAACCACGTGGCCTGGGCGGTGCCAGTATATTCTCGGCCTGTGTGGACCATGTGTGATCCTTCCAAACGGACGAGTGATCGCCAACGCCGGGTATCTGCAGTGGATTCAATGGGCCGCCTGGTGTGTTGGAGGCGCCACTTTTACCATCCGACTTCTCCCATAGCTTCTTGGCAGTCGATGTGGTAATCTGCAGGGGAGATAGAAAAAAAAAAGGCAAAATTAGAAATCACAAAGTTCAAAGGCATTTTTTCTATGGCATTAACGTGTCAGAAGCAGCAGAGCCACCATTTTCCATTTCAGTGTTGCAATTGAATTATTAGCAACATCAATAATTTACCGCACCAGCGCCCACTGGCAATCCCCCTCCCACCGCCTTCTGCTAAACTGCATGCAAAAGCAGGCGTGCAGTCAGCTTCCTGTTGGGGCACGTCCTATGCTTCCTGCGGCTGCTGCGTCCTGCTGACAGTGCTGATAAGTTTTGCCCGACTTTCGCAGCTAATCCCACACTGAGTCCGACTCGTGTCCAGCATAGCAAAGTTTTTATAATGCACAACTTTAATGCGGTCCCTTCCTGACAGTTCCTCCCTCTTCCCCCGCCCAATCCCTTCCTACCACTAGTGGCAGCAATCCTGCAATCCAGCCTGCTGCAGAGCGCATAGCTAATGAAATCAAATTAGCTGCAGTTGGGCCTCTAATGAAAACTACGTGACAATTGAATTCGCTTTTCAGTTGCAGTTCATTAGGAAACAATTATGGAAACAGCTGATAAAACTTGAGAAAAACTCAGATATGCAATAGGTATATGACCTTTATTATCTACAACATATTGTAATATATAATATCTCTATAAGAGATAATTTTCTGATAAGCACGAATGGAATTTCATATTACGTAACGTTTGCAAAATAGAATAAGGATAGTTGAAAACCATTCCATAATTATTCCATTCCATTCCGTCTTTATCGGTTCTTACCTAAATTAAACTTTACGTTACGTGAAGAAAATTATTTCAAAGATTATGTTGATGATTTGCTACGTTACGTAACGTTAAATAAAAGAAAGGATACAAAAAGGTATAGGTTTAACGTAATGTTAATTTTTAATCGAAGACAGCTAGGCAAATGTTGGGTTAAATTAATACTTTCAAAATTGTGTACTTTCTATATATATATATATCGTAAAACACAAAGTCGGCATACGGAATGTAAGACTAATATTTATTACCGGTCACATAACGGAACGTGTAAATAGATGTTTGTAAAAGGAAATTAAGAAATTCAATATGAAACAATTCACAAGAATCATTTTTATATTTTGTAAAGTCGTAAGTTACGTAAACAGGAAGATACGTAACGTAAGATAAATGTCGATACCACATATGTAGTCGGTAAAGTACAACAGTTAAGTGGCCATATATTGTGTAAGCTAGATGCGTTGTTTACGTTCTACCAATGCTCTTAAGACAGCATAATACAGATACGTAACGTTTATTTAACTGCAAATGCTTATTTACAGTAGACTTCTTTTCTGCGTTCTTCCACAATATTTGGACCACTGACCTCCCAGCAGGGACCACAGTGCCTCATTTGGTCTAGAGATATAAATCATATGAGGTGGTCAATGGCGATTGGGCGGGGGGTGTCACCCAGCCAGGGGAGGCAGTAAATCAGAAGCGCATCAAAGACAGTCGCCAGACAGCAGTTAGTTACTTTTGTCCAGCTGTAAATCAAGCAACAACTTATGAGAAGCTTTGCCGTTGACAAACTGACACTGCAAATGAACAGTGCGAAAGAGAGGGGGGTAGAGAGAGAGAGAGACAGAGAAGGAGACAGTTGGATAGTTGACGAGTTGCTTCATCAGTCAAAACAGCTGCCACAACTCGAAACCATTTGTTCCAACTTTGTCTTCGGGCACCAGCGATATATATTGGCGACTTCAATAGAGACAAAGAGCAAGAGTGAGATAAGGGGAGCGACAGCGGAGGATAGCGAGAGCGAGAGAGATCTAAAGCTATGTCCATGCACATTTGAGCTTATATCAGAATCATATCATAATACTAATATCCCCTCATCCACCCGCCCACCCGCCCACCACCTCCACGCTTGAAAAACTTTACTCTGGGGTCTGGCACATGCGTTAAATTTGCCTAATTAAATTTTATGCCACACGAGTTTTTATTATTGCCTCTCATTCCCAAGCCACTTGCGTTGTCATAATGCGTCAACGCGACACGTGCCACATGCCACAGTTTCCAGTGTTTCCACATATATCCGGCAACATCATTTTAAATATTTGATATGCCCATCACCCAGCACATTTACAAGGCAACAGCTGAGTGAAGTCGACGTCGTGAATCCCATGAATTATGCGGAACGAAGCAGCACCTCCCTCCAAGTCCCCTCCCCCTACCTACCACTTTTCGTGAACTTGCCTCCTTGCGAGGAGTTTCATTTCACTTTTCATTGGGCGCCATCAAAAACGACTTATTCGAATTGAATTTGGAATGTGAGATGCGAGTCGTTTAGGCAAATTTTCGAAATTGAATTGATTTTCGCCTCGAATGGAATGGAAATGGAATGGAAAACTATTATTAAATAAAAGCACATCTTAGTTTTATTTTTAAAGCATAGAATAATGTTTAAAACTAACCTAAGCTTTACTTTTATTTTAATATGGCCTACTTCAGGCTTCATATATAAACTTGCCTGAGATTCAAACTCGGGCTGAAATCTTTTTATCTTTAATCGCTCATTATCACATTTAGTAAGAGATCTAACCAAACACATAGAAAATAAACTCAGGTTGACGCTTGCAAATCCCAACAAGTTAAAGCTTCGCGGAGGGTGCACTGCATTTGCAATCCTAGAGTAGATAGCAAAGACTGCTTACGATAGAGCCAGGAGGTACATGCAAAGTACCTGCTAACTTTTAGTGTTTACAACTTGTTGTTGGTTGATAATTTAAATTAACTAAAAAACTAAACAAACATTGAACTCAAGCCGGCCTGCAGTAGTATTTCTTGACACATACAAATCTCTTACTCTATCCAATTTCACATCTTGTCACATCTATCACGTCTTGTGCGATTGTTCAGAATTTCAGGGCTGCTGAAATACTTTTCTAAGTGTGCAATGACAACCTTGCGCCAAACATTTTTCAACAAGCCAAGCCCAAAAGTGGCAAAGAAAAACTCTTCCGCGACACAAAAAATCAAAAAAAAAAAAAACAGAAAATTGTTTGTTAGCCAATATTTTCGCAGTTCAACATAAACAAACAGCATAGATAACGAACATGAGATACCCTTCCGGCAAAGAAAAGGAAAAGATACAATTACCGGTTAATGAAAATATGCCTCAAGGTAACTAAAGAAAGACAAACCTTAGCAAATATTTAAATAAAATGCAAGAAAATGCCAAGAATGTAGTATGTGACAATGCACACATATTCCCTAATCAAATGCACACTTTTCTAGGGTATACAACAACTGCTTGGCTAAAAGCGTAGTTCAACACTAAAACTAAAGCAATGCAGACGCGGCTCAAAGGTAAACAAACAGCATAGATAACGAACTTGAGATACCCTTCCGGCAAAGAAAAGGAAAAGATACAATTCCCTGCGACAATTTAAATAAAATGCAAGAAAATGTCTAGATTATAGTATGTGACAATGCACACATATTCCCTATTCAAAAAAACACTTTTCTAGGGTATACAACAACCACTTGGCTAAAAGCGTGAAAGCGTCAACAAAAAAATTTTTGTTGCCAACTGAGCCTGTCGCATAGATAACTCAAACAATGGCAACAGAAACCACAGCAACGACAACAACAAGAAAAGTGTTAATAAACAATAACAGCAAAAACAACAACAATTTAAACTCGTTAAACGCAACTAAAAACATTTCATAATAATAAAACAACAAAAATGTTTACGAGGCGTATGCGCAATATGGGTCATCTTTATAGAGAACTCCACCCTCGCCGCCCACCCTCCAATCACGCCCACGCAAATATTGAATGAATATTGGATGAAAAAGTTAATAAACAAAAATTATTTTCAGTTTTTTTTTTTATATAAAATAATTTATAGAACAATAAATAAAAATGCGGCGGTTGACAAAAATAAACTAAAGCAAAGAAAGTTCTTTAAACGACAGAACCAAACAAAAACGTGGCCGTCGAATGCTACCAACTGCGGGATACCGTGTTTCTAGTGCACACAAAGCATTTTAAGCCAATAAGAACAAGAGTAATTCTAGTCCCCAGTCAAAACTTAATTTGGTGACTAGTAGCTCCAAAATGGGTAGTTAAAGATCTGAACAGACAAAATATTGTATTACACCATACCCCACCCTTTTGCCTATATGCTACAGGGTATTACCCAGAAAAAATATCGCTATTTTAGCATTTTTGGCGCCTTTCATTCAACAGAGCAGCGCGAATAGCCGAAAAGTAAAGAAAACGTTTTGCATAAAAATGCAAAAATAATTTTGTTTTTAATGAGTAAGCAGCAGAAAAAGAAACATCAACAACAAATTGAAAGACAAACGAATGAGTCAACAAAATATGCGGAGAAAAATCAGAAAAGTGACAGCCACCCTCCTCTCCACCCCTACACACACAAACACACACACACACACACACACAGTTGAACAGAAAACGGCTCAAAAGAATTACAAAAAAAAAACCAAATCGTTCATTAACTTGTCCTTGACTGTGAAGAGACAAAAACAACAACAAGCAGAGCGTGAGTGCAAGAGCGCGACTGCTAAAGAGAGAGGCGGAGTGTTCGAGAGAGGGAGGGGAGTGGGCGCACGGCTAACCGGCCCTAAAAACATGCGTGAGACAAAAAGACAACAAAGCGACGACAAAGAACGCGCGCACAAAGCAAACGACAAGAAGAACAAGCGACGGACGAGGCGATGCGATGCGGCGCACAAACAACAAATAACGTTAAAGAAAACACAGCAGCAAAGGAGCGCAAAAAGAGCGCGAGGCAAAGAGCGTGAGCGAGTGAAAGAGAGAAAGAGACAGACAGACAAGAGGGGGTGGCATAGGCTTGTCAGCAACAACAACATAAAATTTAAGCAAAAAACGAGTCGAAAATAAAAGCAGAAAATTGTTTTTTTTTTTTGCTAAATTAAGTTAGCAATTTTGTTTTTTGTTGTTGTTCTTGTTCTTCTTTTTCT